TWSTTCTYCTTTCCCTCCCTCCTTCTTAGTCCTCTACTTCTACTTTATTGATCTCTTTTCTGTTTTAACAAGATCTCCTTTTTTAATTCCTTTTTTCTCTCTAGCTTCTGAATATGAGAGAAAACATTCCACCCTTGACTTACTTAGTCTGGCTTATTTTACTTAGCATGGTATTCTCCAGTTCTAWCCATTTTCCAGCAAATGGAACAATTTCATCTTCTTTATGGCTGAGTAGAACTCCGTTCTGGTTATATATACAGCATTTTCTTTATCCATTCATCAACTGATGGACACTTGGGCCGGTTCCATGACTTGGCTATTATGTGCTGCTATAAACATTGGTATGCACATATCTTTATAGCATGCTGATTTTAGGTCTTTTGGATAAACAACAAGGAGTGAGATGTCAAGGTCATGTTGTGGTGCCATTCCTACAACCTTGAGGAATCTCCAACCTTCTTTCCAAAGTGATTGTATTAATTTACAATCCCACCAACAATTTATTAGTATACCTTTTCCCCCACATCCTCACCAGCAATTATCATTATTTGTATTCTTAGTAATGGCCATTCTAACTAGGAGAAGATATTCCTGGACATTTACTTTATCTACAGAGAGGCTGAACCAGAGTGGGAGAATCCTAGTAGCATTCAAAGCAAGTATCATTCCTTTCTAGTTTTCACAAACAGTGAGAATTACAAAGTATGGGCTTTCCCATATCCCATTCCCAGGGAACCTCTGTGTGGTACTGACCGCCTTTTCTCAGTTCAGATGGTATGGATTATAAATATTTACATATGTTTGTCCAGGTGTTGTCAAAATGCCAAAAAGAAGCTAAAAATAAGAGAAATGTTAAACAAATGAGAAAAAAAAAAAACAGTTCCCCTGCTTCCTTTTTCTCTAACATCCTCAAGAGAGCTGTGGTTGGGTCTAATTTATGACATTCCCCTTGCTTTCCCCAAACCAACACCCCACACAGTTCTTGGACCCTAATAAGTGCTCAATAAAGTAAATAATCAAGACTTTTGATTTAAACATCTGGGCAGTGGTGACAAACTTAGGGAAGACTGGAGAAATAATTAATTTCCTATAGAAAGAATACTGATCAGTGGGACTCTTTCAATTGGTAAATATCCATTAAGATAGGTATGGTGTGCACACCTGTAATCCCAGCTACTTGGGAGGCTGAGGCAGGAGGATCATAAGTTTGGGGCTAGATTTGGCAACTTGGCAAGACCCTGTATCAAAATTTAAAAATAAAAATAATAAAAAGGTCTATCTAGGGATGTAGCTTAGTGTTAGAGCACCCCTGGGTTCAATCCCCAGTACCACAAAAACAAAAAAACATAATCCATTAAGTGTTTACATTGTGCTAATAATACTCATAGTGCAGACTAGGGATTCTACTACCAAAAYAACAAAACATTAATAATAATCTCAGACTTTACTGAAGTCAATATAAGATGGATAGATGGATAGATGATAGGTAGCTGACTGACATCAATCGGCAAAGTCTTCTTTTGCTGCCAGCCTCCTAAGTCCTGTTCTCTATCCATAAAGTGTGGTGTGTGGTAATTGGTAAGAATATATTAAATTGCTTATCAGCAAGGAATTTAAGACCCCCAGAGAGAAATAATTTAGGCAAATTCATGTAGAGTCTGGATTGACCTTAGAACCATCTGAATCTAGAACATAAGTTCTTGGCACTACTCTATGCTTTCAACCAAGAACCACATCAGGGAACATCCTTAGGCCGCTGCAGTTTATCCTAGAAGTCTGCAGCCTCCTCTTCTTTGTTGTCTTGTTTGACTCTTTTTGACTTCATGACTTTCCAGCTTCCTCTTCCCAGCATGCCATTCAGTAAAGAATTTGTCCTGTCTTTGGCACCTGAAGAGGGTCATCACTTTGTTCCTTAATGAGCTACACAGCTCTCTTCAAGCTTTCATTGTGTGTGGTGGCAACAGCACTAAGAAGAAGCTGTTGCTAGCAGGGATATAAAAAATAAATGGCTAACTGTAGTGGGGTTATGGGTTCCTAAAGTAAAATGAGGAGCCTGGTGGTAGCCACAAAGACTCAGGAGGTGCAGAGACTYAGACACTAAGAACCTAAGGATGAAGGTCTTTGACACCTCTCTAAGGAAAAGAGAGAAGAGAGGCATCAGACCCAGAGTTTGGGGCAAGCTATTGCCCATTTCTAAGTCAAATAATATTGTTCTTACTATGTTGTTTGGTGATAACTGGTATCTTAAAAGTGAGATCAGTTTTCTGTTCACAGAAATGTATAAAGATTTTTAAATACTTTGTTTAAATTGTAAGGACTTTTTTCTTAATCGGGACAATAGTAAGTTAATCAAGGTACAAGTTGGGATGCAATGCACATTAGAAAACACTGATGCCGGTGGCACACGCCTGTGATCCCAGCATCTCAGGAGGCTGAGGCAAGAGAATTGCAAGTTCCAAGCCAGCTTCAGCAACTTAGCCAAGCTCTGAGCAACTTAGAGAGACCCTGTCCCCTGTCTCACAATAAAAAAATTAAAAATTTTTAAAAGGGGATGGGGATATGTCTCAGTGGTTAGGTGCCCCTGGGTTTAATCCTTGGTACCAAAAAAAGGAAAAGAAAAGAAAACACTGATTTCAAATAAATACACGTAAAACTAGAGCACATGGGTGCTACGGAAGCAGAGAGGAGCACAGTCTGTTAAATTTAGTCTCATGATCCCTAAGATGAATATTTGACTGTTAGTCTCTTCTTTGATCATGTAGCAAAATGTCCAGAAAATTTCTTTTAGAAAGTTGTAAAGCATACCTAGGGTCTTCGGACTAGACCCAGGGAGATTAGAGAGTAAGAAGCCATTTTTCTGAAATCATACCAGTTAAATAGCCTGGCTTCCCTCCTGTGGTAGAAATAAATTTAGGATTGTCCTCAAGCCTTAAACATGCCAAGTGTGGTGGTGCACACCTGTAGTCCCAGCTAGTCAAGAGGCTACGGTTGGAGAAACACTTGAGTCCAGGAGTTTGAGACCAGCCTGGGTTATATCCTAAGACCCCATCTGAAAAAAATAGTCTTTTAACACCAAAGAATTGGGAATGTTATATTCTCATAAAAAGAAGCCAGAGCAAGGAATTTTGTTTTCCCATTGTCTTCATGTCTTCCTACCTGGAGGAAACCACTTGACACTTCTGGGTAGAACATTG